TGTTATTCCTGTTTATAGTGATATATCCACTTTCTGTTATTTGACTGTCTTGCTAATCTTCTCGAAATGTTAGGCTATTTCAGTAATTTTATGTAATTCGGATGAATTAAAACGGTATAGAGATAATTATCCAAATCAGTGAAGGATCTCTCAATAAATTAATGTGATTAAAATCTTTACTTCAAACTAAGAATTGTTTGGAAGGGTTCCGAAGCCAAAGTTGTGACTGCTGATTTATGCAAAAATGTTTCCGAGGCATCGTGTTGCGACCCCGAGGAATTCGTTGCGAGCCTTCACTTGTCATCTAGCACTTATCTCCATAGCCATAAAATAGCATTTATGAAACATAATTGTGTTCATCATATTTTATTTAAGGTGATGAATGATCGAGTAGGCCTCATGCTTCCGTTGAACTTCACATATCCTTGCTTCCCAATCTGGATAATGATATCTTTTGGGAAGTTATACTGTGCACAATCAAGTGGAAATATGAGGTCTCTTCATATCATTATAGGAAAATTCAACTATTAGTCCTTTAGCATCTTAAACTAAATAGTTTGAATACAGCTCATATCTATCGGTAATCTCGCAAACTTACTTATATCCCGAAGAAGTAGCCATAATTGTTGGGAAGAATCTCAATTAAGTGTAGACCGTACTTTAAGGAAGTCAGGAAGCCCACGCACTTAAGAAGTCAGAAGTATACGATACGTGACGCTGAGCTAACCATTACGTGAACCTCATGTGTGCCTCACAAGAAGGCTTCCAGATGCGCCCCCCTAGTATGCCCTTTCCAATAGGCCATGCTGGGTGCTACCTCTTTTAAAAAAACCGCTATTTTCGCCCTGATACATTTCTGGTGTATATCCCAAATGTGTAGATTCGAAACCACTAGTAGAACTTGAATAAGAATTTGAACTAGCTCATATGAGTTGAGCTGACGGACGACAAATACAAATAAAATGAAATCATTTTTATTTCAACCATAGATACTCAACTATCAGTCTCTCCATTACCCTATACGCCCCAAGCTATCTCGATGTCTTACTTTAAGTCTACATCAGTCAAGCTGTCCACAAAATAACTTGTTGTGCTAAATAGTCATGAATGCGTATCTGAGATTTGTGAGAAATCATCTTCCTTACATGCATCCGCCAGAAAAGTAGCTACAGTCATAAACTTTGAGAAAATTTGTTTTGCCCGGCCAGATTCTGCTGATGATAAAAATGGGCCAATTACGACCTACAGCTTTGTGAGGTGTGGGAAAGATAGCACCTAAAGCTCTAACTTCTCCAAACTTTCCCAATGAAAATTATGTAGACTTCAGAATTTGAGTGTTCCGTTGGGCCATAAAGTGAAGAGTGAGAAAGGGCTTGGCAAAACGAAAACATAATTTTCTGGCCGTCTTGCTTACTCTTACCGACATTCTAAATAATGCGCGTGAGTGTGCACAGACTCCAGTTCTCAGATCAGTTGAGCGCCCATCAGTCGTCCGGCCTGGCACGAATGACCGAAATGCCTCCGGGAGCAATTCAGCGGCCCAACTGGCCAAAATGTGTAGCCAACTGGGGTTTTGGCCACCTCCATCCTCTCTTAAAAGCATTATAGTCATGGTGACTCATGTAATGGCCTGTTTACACGTCATTGGACAGCGGGACTTCCGTAGGGCAATCAAAGTGAAGAGGACAAGTGGTCGGAATAGACATCGTCGACTCTTGCTGTAGAGAAGATAGGAAAAGAAATGTGTAATGGCTACTGGTTAAAGACCCAGACAAACAGACAGACGAGTGAACAAACTGAGCGATATCGACTGATTCTTGCAGGGCTTGCACGAACTAACAATTCATAGCCGTCACTCGCTTTTCATGAAGGTATTCCAACACATATACATATTGAAGAGCATGTGCCGGGGTCCCGTCTGGAGTCATTTGGGCTGGGCCGAAATTGCAAAGCCACCAGAAGCGAATGGGGAGAAAGAAAAAAGTAAAATATTGATAAAGGAAGGAAAGTCTTGACGACTCCAACGCGCACACCCCCAGAAAAGGGAAATAAACAGAACTTGTGAATGGCTACCCTCTATGGGGACCCTATTGCCCACATGAAACTATTTGATTGGGCAGTGAATTGTAGCTGGTTTTCCGAAAAATGTGGGACTATTACCCTGTATCATTCGATATTTATCAATATCGTTCTGTTTTTTTCAGCTTTTCTTTCGTTGCGAGTGCATAGAGTATTCAAGATAGAGTCAATAATCTTTTGACTTAACGGTAACTTGAAGCTTTCGTGAAAACGAGGTCCAAGTCGGACAATGTTCGCCACATAAGGATTACAGTTCAGCTCGTCTTCCACTGAACCAAAGGAGGGTGTCTCGTGAACTGTAG